CATTCAATAAGTTCCCAGTGTAGGTGTTTTTAATCAACCTGTTCATAGTTGCTATTTCAGATCTCTAAAGCGATTGGGACTTCAACCCAGGCCTTGTGACCCAGAGGTAGGAACACTACCACTGCATCACATGAACCCTAAAATTCGTGGTGTATTTTGCTCTTTATCCATTCTATGCAGCTTCTTGTCACGTCTAGCTCACAATCTTTTCTGTCTTTGTCATAAGACTACACAAACCAGTAACAAGGTGGTCACTTATTCCACCAAACCTGCTCCACCATTCAACTGTTTTAAGTACTCTACATTTTCCACTTATCCCTGTTCGCCTTTCACCCCCTTGCTGACCAAGAATCCCCACTTACCTTTGCCTTAAAAAGATTCAAAGTCTCTGTTTCCACTGCCCTTTAAAGAAGGGAGCTCTAAAGGTTCACATCCCTCTGACAGAAGAAAGATTTCTCAGGATCTCTATCTTAAATGGTTGAGCCTTATTTTGAAACGGTGACCCTTATTTCAGAAAGGCAACACCCTTTGCATATGCAATGTGATGAGACTCCTCAGGATCTTGTACACCACTTGTACAATTTGAAATCCTTATTTACAGTGGACAGTCCCTTTTTTTAAACAATATTATTTCCTTGTGTTGATGGTTTTGTTCTTATTGTGTTCAAGGGTCTGCTGCTGGTGATGGAATGTGGCCTGCCCACTCTCCTCCTCCCAACCAAGAGAACTGGGTGAGTTTCGCTGACACTCCCCCTAGCAGCACGCTTCCTGCAATGCATCCAGCCTCCATTCAGGTAAGCAGAATGTGGTGAAGCTTATTTTTTTAACCGTCTGAACTATGCTTTCTGTCAATTGCACAATGATAACTGTAGTGATTTTGGGCATCAGGGCACTTTGCAAATGCAATCGATGGGAACAGATGAAGGGGAGATGGGATTTGTTGTAGCACCTGTTGTTTTAATTAAGAACCAAACACATGCTGAAGAAATTTCGTAATATAAAGATGGATGATGCTTTCCCATATAAATGCCCATTGTCTATGTTAAGCGATGCAAACAGGTTTTTCTGTTGGTTTTGCTGACACTGATTTTTTATTTCTCTGTATTGTTTTAAACGAATTAAAATTTAAAATTAGTGTTCTTGATTATGAGTCCATGTCTCTGCACTGTTATGAAAATCACAGCAGTCAAGTTTCTCAGTGAATGCTGAAAATTGCGTTCTGGAGTTACCATATTTTTTAAACTGATCAATTTATTGTTAAGGAAATATAGGGATTTGCAGCCGCAAGTCTTTTGTTCGACATACAAATAAGACGTTAATTTTGCTTTCCCCATTTATAGTTTTTGCTGCCTCAATAAGCTGAAGGCTTTTAACCTCCAGTAAAATACTGAATCTTCTCTAACATTACGCTGCAAATTTTCTTGCCTGCGTAATTTGAAGTGAAAGGGTAACTTCTGACTTGTTGAGACAGTTTGAGTCACATTCTTGTTTCATTTAAACAAGCACATCAGTTTGGCTAATTAAAACTCTATCATCCAGTGTATTTTGATTTGTCATTTAAAATGTCTTTATGGTGGTTTTGCAGGAACACACGACGGTGAGGACTGTAGCATCTGCTACAAATGCCATGGAAATTCGTAGGCAGTCTAGTGGTTATGATGATCCTTGGAAGATTACAGATGAGCAGAGACAATATTATATTAACCAATTTAAAAACATTCAACCAGATTTGAATGGTTTTATTCCAGGTATGTTCTCAATTCAAGTGCGACCCACTGTCCAGTCTTTGCAACTTCTTACTGATCTGATGATGTGATTGACCGGTGCATTAGAGATGAAATGTCATCTTAACTTAACAGGCCATTAACCGTGACTTCTTTCCTGAGACCGCTTCAATAGCTGTTGAAAAATGCATTCTCGGTGGCTAAGAAGTGTAGAAGTCAAAATAAATTGTAATCCTTTTTAACTGCTTTTCTTCCTAGAAGAATCATGTGCTTTCACTTGCTTGTTGTTGTAAAAGCAGCTATTTGCAAAATGCAAATGTCTTGAATTCACTGTATTCCAAGTTATCATTCATTTGAGAGTACAGTTGAAATTTTGAGTTGAGGTGGGCTGTTCACCACCCCCACTTAATATTCACTACAGAGTAGTTTTTATTGTGTAATGACATTTATTACACAACTAATTTTGTCAGCATTTTGCCAAGTTGCCCCACTGTTTGTCAATATAGAGAGAAACCTAGCGCAGTGCAAATGTTGAGAAAAGTGCTCGTAGTTTTATTTAACTGTTCAAAACAAAAGCTAATGACTTTTATAATAAAAATGTTAGGTATGCGAAACAGTTCAAGTAGTATCTGAAAAAAGCTAATCATTGTTGCATTAATTGCTTATTTCATGTGTGAGCTTAAATACATGTAACAGCCTTAAAAATACAGGCCTCTTACATTCCTGGCCTACAATTGAAGCTCGTGAACTGCAAGCTTAATAACTGTAGCTGCAGTTTAAAATTTTTGCTGCTTGGATTATTAGCATCAATTTTAGGTAGAAAATCTCAATCTTGAGCTCCTTGTTTTCAAGAGAATATGGTATCAAAATGCCTGTCTCCTCCACTCCATCCCACTGGAGGTTGAACAAAGATTTTTGTCAATCCAGACTTTTTAGTTGGCAGCAAAATTTTTTGCTGCTTCCCAGTAAAATGCTAAAGGATACGTTAAGTGGGCTGTGCAATGTGCACGGGCAGTCTGTCATTGCATATGAAGGATGCAATTGCAGCTGATCTCGAAGACCGATTGTCATTCCCTGTCCTTTGTGCTAATGTATCAACAGTAGAAACAGATCTACTGGTAAGTTGTGGGAGATCTGTGTTAAGCTATTACTAACTTTTTATTGAGACAATTGACCTTTTGTTGGACAACTGACTAAGTATATCAAAAGTACAGAAAATAGGAGTGCTCATCTTGATGGAGGAAGAGCCAAATGTTGAGCTCTTCCCCAGTAGCAGGACTAAAGACTGCCAGCTTTGCTAGGTGTATATGAACACTTCCTCTCATTTGGAAATGTAATCTGCAGCAAAACCTGGAAAGAAAGACGGATGTAAATGAAGAGAGGTAAAATAATTTCTAAATAAAATGGCCCAAACTTTTGACAATGTAAGGAAGGTAAAAGCCACATCAAACAACTTATCTGCTTTTGACCATGTGCAGAGCTGAGGTTATGGATGAAATGACATTGTTGCTCGGTACAACACAATGTAACACATATAATCATTGACGTGTTGTGTCTGAATTATTTTATATCGTAATTTTGCACAAGTTCCAAGTAATTTGCAAATGAGTGGTTATTTAACTGAACAATCTTTTGTGTTAGATATGACAGACAGCTTTGTGGAAAAGCGGTGGTGTTAAGAAATCTGCCAGTGTCAAAATCACAGCGACATGCAATGCGTGGTGAAAGTCATCTTTAATTTAATGATCCCTCATAGGAGCACCGTTCAAAAGTTATGTCCTTATGAAGGCATGCATGAAGTAACACCCATGAGACATACCAAACCATACACAAATCAGCAAGCTAGAATCAGGTAGCTCAGTTAGAAACACAGTACTGTGCACATGCTTCCCACAATGTAGGTTAGTAGGATCTAAAATCAAATGGCCTGAAAGTGTTTGCAGATGATTTAGATCATTTCAGTTAAATATTCACCTGATCTGTAACAGAAAGCAGGATTGTCCAAGGTATGTTTTTCAGTGATAGCTTATTGGGTACGAATTATTGTGAAATTTTGTGGTGTAACGTTCTTGGCTTCCATGTGATCCAGACATGAGAATCTGCGGGCTGGAATGTTTGTCAGAACCTAACTAATGTTCGGTAATGATCTACAGTTTGGCATTGTTCACCTTCTTAAACTTTTTGCTAGGAATTTACCCATGTTAACTGGTGTCCTGCCATGGATTTACCAGAAGTAGCTAATTACAGAAAATAACTAAATGCATGTTTTGATGTGAGATTTGAAAGTAATCAGTGGTGCAAGGAAGAACTATAATTTTGATCCAAAGATGTAAATTCACATGAAAGCATGTGAAGGGTTAAAGTTGGAGAGCGGTCTCTAGTCAGTTGTGCTATTGAGGGTAAGTATTGAGTACAGCTGACTAAAATCAGGCTCTATTTACTCCAGTTTTGAGGGCTATTGGAAACAAATAACAAATTACAGTTAACAAGGGAGTGCAGCCATGTTCACTAATGTCCTTTTAGGGTTAGAAACTGCCATCCTTACCTGGTCTGGCCTAAGCGTAGTTCCAGCCCCACAACAATGTGCTTGACTCATAACTGCCCTGTAGGCATTTAGGGATGAGCAGTCAGTGCCGGTATAGTCAGTGATGCCCACATCCTCAATGAATGAAAAAAGTGCAGCCTGCTACCTTAGTATAAGAAAGAGATTCGAGTAAATGACGGGGCAGTAAGCAATACATTTCTAAGCTATATAACCAGAAAAAGGAATTCAATAGGTTACACTTGTGGAAATGCAATGTCTTTCAGCCCCAAGCCATCACTTCATTTTTTCTATATTTTCTATATTTTGTTGTATCACTATTAGAAAAATTACTTAATGATCATTATGAATCCTAAAAAGGAACAGAATGCACTTTGTTGGGAGTCATTTTTTAAGAAAAATTCTTACCAAGTCTGTTTCCAACACATTCTTGCAGGATCTGCTGCTAAAGAATTTTTCACAAAATCCAAACTCCCAATTCTTGAACTTTCTCATATTTGGTGAGTACTAATATCACATGACTGGTATTCAATGGATGTAACACTTTCAAGCATTCCCATAATCTGCAGCTTTGGAGGGAGATAGAGGCTAACAGTACAACTTCATTGAAGTAAGCACTAGGAAGCATCCTGACAGGCAGGAAATGTTTCAGAGAGATACCAAGGTGTAGAGCTGGATGAACACAGCAGGCCAAGCAGCATCAGAGGAGCAGGAAGGCTGACGTTTCGGGCCTAGACCCTTCTTCAGAAAAAAAATGTGATGTGGAGTGCATGTTCCCTACAGAAAACTGCTTGCAGTCATTTCCTTTTTAGTATATTTCTTTTTAATGGAGTGTTCAAGTCCTCCACTGGTCACAAAGTATGGAACAGGTGATGCTGCCTTTTTTTTAAAACGCACACCTATAATAGGCTGTATATAGCTCATCAGAAGTCAGTCAGCCAGGTTCCTTAAGTAACAAGTAAATAACTAGGTTATTGCAAACAAAAAGCTTATACAAAGATAACCAACAAAAAGTTTAGTCTGTACAAATGAATATTTATAAGGCAGACTTAGATTCTTGACTAACAAAGGAGTCAAAAGCACCGAGGGAATATGGAAAGTGGAGTTGAGGCCACAGTCAGATAAACTATGATTTTATTGAATGGTGGTGTAGACTGTCGAGACAACTGCTCCTAATTCCTGCATTCATGTGTATAATGGGATCCCTGTCAGCGTGACAATTGTTTTCCCTATTGCACTTACATAACTGTTGAAAGAACACAGAAGAAAACGAAATTGATTGATGGGATGGAGGAATTAGATCATGAGCAGCAATTGTATAAATTGGAAAAGAGAAGGCTGAGAGTTGATGTGACTGCTTTTTTTTTAAGCTGCTTCACGTTCCTCAGAAGAGGAGAAACTTAGGACACTGCTGTGCTTGATGTAGGGTAAATTCAGAACTAATCTGGGTAAATTATCTTGGCGAGCATATGTTCGGTTTATCGTTTGGATTCCCTCTGAAGCCACTTAAGATATTGGAAGTGATTCATTCAAATCCAAATGTTTTTTAAAAAAATCTTAACACTTCATTCCTTGTACACCTATATTTTAACAGTAGCATGGTTTTGAGAAATGGATAGCCTTGGTCCTCTGCCAGTGTTCTCCTTCATTGAATTTTTCACTAGCGTGCTAACAAGAAGTCCCAGTACTTTTACCATGAAATGTTTACCTCTCTTTAATAATGATTTTCAATTTCAGCATTACACAAACTAGCCTCCTGTATTCTATGGAGCTCCTACTATTCATTAGATCTTTATCAGAAAACAAAACCCTGCAATGTTGCTCCTCTTTCCAGATACCTGAAAAAGGTGCCAAAGGGAGCACATAACTCCAGAACTTCCCTTCTGTCTTTTTATAGATCATAGAATCCCTACAGTGTGGAAACAGGCCCTTTGGCCCAACAACTCCACCCAGACCCATACCCATATAACCAACCTGATCTACACACCCCTGAACACTGTGGGCAATTTAGCATGGCCAATTCACCTAGCCTACACCTCTTTGGACTGTGGGAGGAAACCGGAGCACCCGGAGAATACCCACGCAGACACGGGGAGAATGTGCAAACTCTACACAGACAGTTGGCTGAGGGTGGAATCGATCCCAGGTCCCTGGAATTCTGCCATTTGGACAATTTCCCATTTTTGGCTTTATTGAACATATATAGTGAGTCTCTACTTCACTAGCTACTAGCTGTGGGATTGTGAACCTCGAGGTTCTTTTTCATCCTTTGTATTCCAGTATCCTTAGTACATTTGTGTATTTAAGGACTGAATTAACTTTTGTCTCTAACATGTAGGTTTAAGTCCAGACCCCACTACTTTGTGTTTGCCAGAAAATATTTGATACTTTTATTCAATTTCTAGAGCATCTTTTCACATTCAGCATCGTTCCTCAGTCAGCACTAATTTCACTCAGACAGTGGTTGGGGTGCTGTGGAGAAGTGGAAAGACTGCAAAGAGGGTTCAGTTATGGGTGGTGGTTTTAAGAAATTGGTTTCAATGCTCAGACTGAAGAAGGAGATGATAATCTTATTCCCCACTCATGAAAACTCTTTGCCTTAATGAAATTAATATTTGTAACAAATACAGAAATGTTGAATTTGTCGGTGTTTGCTTTTGCGATTCAGGGAGCTGTCAGACTTTGACAAAGATGGCGCTTTGACGTTGGATGAGTTTTGTGCAGCTTTCCACCTGGTAGTGGCCAGAAAAAATGGCTACGATTTACCAGAGAAGTTACCAGAAAGTTTGATGCCAAAGTTGATTGATCTTGATGATTCAGGGGGTAAGTAGCATTTGATTTCCTCTCTAATCAAGGTATTGACAAAAAGTGAGTTTCATTGGGGAGATAGTCTGGCTGTTATCAACCAATTTGGTAGTAGAAATGTCATGATCCCAGAGTGTTAAAATTCTTTGTCTAGTGATTTTTTAAAAATGTTTGTAATTGGAGATGGGTATTTGGTAATACTGAGTATAAACTGGACTGTAAAACAACTTGTCTTTTGTGGGGGTTTTAGTTATAATGGTTCATCAATCTAGTATAGTGAAACCAGACTCTTTGCAGCTAATATCTACTGCAGGGACCTCTGTATGCACTTATAAAGAGATACAAACGTTGCTGCACATTACTGAGGGGTGTCCCTTTTAAAGATTAAGTGACGGACTTGAACCTGGTCAATAAGGTGTCTATTGATTTAGCTTTGGGTTTTGTATTTGCTAGATAAAGAAAATCGAACTTTAACCCGAGTGCAGTCGGACAACTCTGAATTCTGACCTCTAAGTTTCACTCAAATTTGAAACTCTTTTAACTAACGTGTTTCAAATATCGTTTTTGTTTTTCTCAGCTCAGTCTTTAAAGTTCAGTTTTTTTTTTGCCTTTATTGTGAATATCTAGCTGCTATGAAGTTTTAAGTTTTACAAATAGGAAGTGACACATCAGGGAATGGTTGCTTAAAGAAAATTAACTGAATTGATTCATTAGCGCTAACCATAAATGATGCAGTTTTGACCAGGTATGTTCCACTTGTACAAATATACAGAATAGCTACATGCACATTGGTTATGAGTTTCATATCTTTTGGATCAGTTGTACATTCTGCCATTACACATGGGCACTTGAGGCCAAATGAGTAGTATTCAAAGACTATCAAGAAGTCCACTTGATATTGTGACCAACATTACTCGTTCAAACAGCGCCACCTGAGAGCAGATTGAGACATTTCTATTTTCTTTACTATTTGTGGCCTTTTGCAGTATACAGTGATTGGACTGCAGAGCTTCAAGAGATTGATGGCATGCTTGGACAAGGAGCAGCATGGTTCTTGCAGCTGCTCCTGGGATTACAGGCTTAGTTAAAATTTTTTTTGTTAATATAGTCATTATAGTTTACTAATAAGATTTTTTTCTGTTTTCTTTTATGAACATTCAAAAAAAACAAACAAAAATACATGATTTTATTTCAAATGGACTTCTTGTTTTAAACAGTTTAAGGGTCTACAGTGAACAGCTGAAGTTTTTATTCTTCAGAAACTAAACCAGTCTGTGTTTGAGGTTTTTTCACATTGCAAAGTTGTTTTTAAAAACCTCAACAGTTTTTTTTATGTAAGGAGTTGTTTTCGTACCAGAGAGTCCTACGCATCAGCTCAGAAGACTTGTTTTTTTCCTTTTACTTAAAGAAATTTATTAAAGAGGAATCGTTTTTGTTCAGTTAATCAGCTAAGTAGTTGATTTTATTTAATTTTTCTATGATGTGTTTTATAAATTTTTTTCCATTATAACATTATTTTCTGTAGGTAATGGAAGGTAGTTTATTTTATATATAAGACGTCATTGAAACTTTTTTTAGGTTTTAATGTCATTAAGGCCATCTAAGGTATAGAGTGAGATGGTTAGTAGATTTAGAAAAGTTATTACCCAGCAGGATCAGTCAGATAGATGGGTGACTGGCAGGAAAGGTAAGAAGGTAGTTCAAGAGTCTCCAGTGGCTATTCCTGTATCAAATAGATATTCAGTTTTTGGAACAGTTGAAGGGGATAGTCTCTCTGAGGAAAATGGAAGGGCCCGTCAGTTATTGGACACTTGAACGATTCTTATGTTAGGCAGCGTTTGACAAGATTTAATAGAATTATTGTTATAGGGGACTCTCCTGCCAGGGGCATAGACAGGCAATTCTGTGGCAGTGAGTGTAAATTTAGGATAATTTGTTGCTTCCCTGGTGCTAGGATTAAGGATGTTTCAAAACTTTTCAAGCATATTGTTAAAGACGAGATTGAGAAACCAGAAATTATTGTACACGTTGGTCGGAATGACATTTTTGGGGAAAAGATTAAAGCAATGCAGAGTGAATTTAAGAGGTTAGGTAGAAGATTAAAAAATAAAACCTTTAAAAGTAGTAATTTCTAGTTTACTCCCAATGCCAAACTCGAATGAGGGAAGGAACAAAAAAGCTGGTGTGTTGTTCAGGGATTCAGGTTTTTGAGCAATCGGACTGTCTTTTGGAATAGAAAAGACCTGTTCAAAAAAGATGAGCCTAACCTAAACTGGAAAGGGACCAATATCCTAGCAGGGAGATTTGCTCATTCTATTAAGGGAGACTTTATACTGATAGAGAAGGTGACTGGAGGAATTCCAAGTAGCAATGTAAATGGAAGGATTGGGGTAGGTTCTGAATATGAGGAGAGCATATGCCAATTAGAAAAAGCGAGTCAGAGCTCGGAAGAGCGAAATTGCATTTACTTCAATGCAAAGGGCCTCGTTACAGTTAAGGCACATTTAAGAACATGGAGTTGGGACATCATAGCTGTTACAGAAAGTTGGCTGAGAGATGGACAAGACTGGCAGCTTGGTGTTCCTGGTTAGATGCTATAGGAATGATGGAAAAGGAGGGGGTCGTGTTTTTGATTAAGGAATATATTACTGCTGTAACTAGGGAAGATATTTCTGAAAAATCAAGTTTAAAATATATGGGTAGAAATTACGAATAAGAAAGGAAAGATCACTTTGGGATTGTACTGCAGGCCCCCCCGCCGCCGCAGTAGTAAGAGAAATAGAGAAACAGATATATAACGAGATCTCAGATATATGTAAGCATAATTTTTTAATAATGGGGGATTTTAATTTTCCAAACATTGACTGAAACTACCGTAGTGTTAAAGGTTTGGATGGTGAAGAATTTGTCAAATATACTCAAGAAAATTTTCTTTATCAATATGTGAATGTTCCTACTAGAAAAGGAGCAAAACTAGACCTTCTGGGCAGTCAGGCAGCGCAGATGACAAACTTAAAAGTGGGGGAACACTTTGAGTCTAGGGATCATTTTATTAATTTCAAAATGGTTATAGAAAAGGATAAGCCTTCCTTAAAAGTTAGTTTTTTTTAAAGGCAAATTTTAATGTTGTGAGACAAGAACTTTCAAAAGTTGATTGGAGTAGACTGTACGCAGGTAAAAAGACGTCTGACAAGTGGGAGGTGTTCAAGAGTGTGATGACTAGCGTTCAGAGACATTTTGTTCCTGTCAGAGTGAAGGGTAAGGCTGGTAAGATTAAGGAACAATGGATGAACAAAGATAGTGAGGTTCCAGTCAAGAATAAAAGAATCTTGTTTTAGATATGGGCAACTTGATTCAATTGAATTTCTTTATCAATATAAACAGTGTGGGGGGCATTCTTGACAGAAATCAGGAAGGCAACGAGAGGATATGAGAGCACTGGCAGATAAGGACAAATACATTAAGAGCGAGAGGGGATTGGGCCTCTTAAAAATCAAGACAGTCATCTTTGTGTTGAACCCCAGGAGATGGGAGAGATACTAAATGAATATTTTGTGTCAGTCTTTACTGTGGAGAAAGAAATGGAGTCTAGAGAATGCAGAGAAATAAACGTTGATGTTTTAAAAACAGTTCACATTACAGAAGTAGTTGTTCAGGAAGTCTTAGAGAATATAAAGTTGGATAAATCTCCAGGACCCGATCTAAGTATCCCAGAGTGTTGTGGGAAGTAAGGGAGGAAATTGCGACTCCTTGCAGAAATATTTGCATCATCCATAACAGCTGAGGTGCCTGATGACTGGAGGTGGCTAATCATTGAATCCTTACAGTGTGGAAGTAGGCCATTCGGCCCATCAAGTCCACACCAACCCTATGAAGAGCATCCCACCCAGACCCACCCCCTACGGGCAATTTAGCATGGCCAATCCACTAAACCTGCACATCTTGAGACTGTGGGAGAAAACCGGAGCACCCGGAGGAAACCCATGCAGACACGGGGAGAATGTGCAAACTCCACACAGACAATCACCTGAGGCTGGAATTGAACCTAGGTCACAGTGGTGCTAATCACTGAGCCGTCGTGCTGCCCTAAAGTGAGGGAGCCTGTCGTCTCTGGGTGGTTTTGAACCACCAACCTTTTGATTAACAGCCGAACGTGTTAGCCAATTGCGCCACAGAGACTGTTTTACCTTTGTTTAAGAAAAGTTGTAAAGTGAAACCGGGGATCTATAGATCTGAGTCTGACTTCAGTTGTGGGTAATTTGTTGGGGGTGATTATAAAAGATAGGATTTATGGATGTTTAGAGAGGCAGAAATTGATTAGGGATAGTCAGCATGGTTTTGTGCGAGGAAAATCATATCTCACGAACTTGATTGAGTTTTTTGAGGAAGTTACCAAAAAGGTTGATGGCAGAGCGGTAGAAGTTGCCTATTTGGATTTTAGTAAAGCCTTTGACAAGGTTTCACATGGTAGACTAATTTAGTAAAGTTAGATTACATGGGATTCAGGGTGAGCTTGCCAAGTGGACACAAAATTGGCTTAATGGTGGAGGGTTGGTTTTCAGACTAGGTCTGC